ATTTTACACTTCCCTTCCCCCCATAGATTATTACATAGATTAATTTTTCTTTTAAGTGAAACATTTTTACAGACAGAGAGTTCTGGTGGCCTCTTGAGTAAGGAGTTGCACTGCCAGCCAACTGCTTCCATGGGAAAAAGATGGGCAGTCTTCTCCCATGAGGTTTACAGCTTCTGAAAACTCTCTGGAAGATCAGCTATGAGTCAATTCTGTTAAAGACACATAACGACAACAACAAGCTAAGGCATGTTCTGGATTCCGTCCCTCGGACTCCCTCGGCAATGCACATAAATAGTTGAGCACTTGTCTATTATCCAAAAGGTTAGTGGCTGGAACCTACTTAATGGTGCCTGCAAAGAAAGGCCTGCAGTCGGCTGAAGGTCCCCGCCTTGAAAACTGTGAGGAGCAGTTCTGCTCGGCCACATGCAGCATCAACACGACTCACGGGAGACTTAACAACAACTGCTTTGAGGCTGGTTTTTACTGTTCTTGTTTTGGTTTAAAGGTTGTAGAATGGTCACCCACAACTGACTGTGAAGTAAAAGGATTTTACTACTTATTCCATTAAAATTGCTCCACAGAAGATAATATCTCTTACATAATACTGAATTTAATATGAAATAGAAATAACACACTGAACAAAACTATTTATCATTTTTGTCTTATTTTTACCTCAACAAATGATAGTAATTATAAAAGTCATATGTGTGTCAGCGAGAGAGAGAGGTGAATCACATTGTTCTGCCGTCTGACCTTTCCAACATTTTAGCTCGAGGCCAGTTGTAGGGCAACACTGAGAGCCTTGTCTGAATTATATATAGAAAAATGTAACCAGCCACGAAAGACATTCCAAAGATGTTCTCTCTTCCCAATCTACATACTTGAAATTCACACCCCCAACAACAATTCACAGTAAATTTTGGCTTGGCGAATGTGACCTTATATTTGTGCATGGGAGGTTTTATTTATCACTTCTATTTATAAAGTTATAGTGAAACGTGCAAAGACCTGGATTTGAAACCAAAAAGAGCATAATCAGTGTTACTCAAGCTGAAAGAACTGAAGAACAGATTTAACCCTTAAGCTGCAATACTGAAGAATGCTATGGGCAAAATATTGAACAACAACTGAAACAATAAAAGACGTAAGTAATGCATCAGTGCACCAAAAACAATTGGCTGACATTCAGCCATTCCAGGAAAAACTTTTTCCAACAGGGTGAAAAGAAAATCTACAGACTGGAAACAAACATTTGGTAATACCATCTCAGACAAGAGTCTTATAACAAAAGTTTACAGAATACTCCTGGGCCTCCACAAGAAAAAGACTGATAACCCAATTACAAAACGGGCAAAAGA